GTAAGTCGTCGGTGGTAATATCAGTAGGTATCTGTAACTTAAGGTAACGGTGATTTTCTTAAGTTTCCTAAACTATTTACTGAAGAATTCCTTCCAATAATTAGATTTGAGAGGGAATTAAATGCCTACTACGGATCGAGCCGATTATGGGATGATGGAGTTATTCTGCCTCAAGACACGAGGAAGGTAAGAATAACTACTAACCCTTTGTATAAGGAGAAGATTTATGCAAGGATCACAAACATTACTCAGCGGACTTATGTCATGCCACGAGATTACTCATGTATATTTCGTCTTCTGTTTCCTTGCTTTGCCAAGATTTGCTACGAACTAACGAGCAGCGATGTTCTTCCAGGGCTTTCAAAGTTCTATCGCTCTCTGCTTACCACGAGTGGACGTCCAGTGGAGAAGTCCGAGATAAGTTCGTCTTTTCAGTGTACTGAGTCCGATTCTCTTCCTCTGAGTAGTTTGTCAGGCAGTCGTGGAAGATTGTCGCGAAATAGGCCTTTTTAGCTTGTCATTTCAGACCACTTGATGGCTATACTCCAGAGAACCATTTCTTTCAAATATCGTCCCATGCACGTGGATGCAAGTGCATATGCAGAACTCATGAAAAGACAAAGGTAAATTCCCTTGAGGACATCATGTGGTCTGAATTGGAAAATCAAAACGTGCAAGCTAAAATGTCCATTGATCATTAGTAAATGGAACTCGCCTATTCTGGCATTGAGAGCTGCCCTTAGCAGTTGGGTATAAAAGCGATGAATTTAGCGGTGAACATTTTTTTTTTGGCAATTTAGCAGTGTTGGCTGCCAACTTCCGCGTTCGCAGCAATTGATTTTCCATTTCCAGAATTCACTTACCTGGATCTTTTTTTTTTCGCAGTTCCTTGGACTCAGCTTACGAGTATCTCTTTCTTCAATTTCGTGCACAGAAAGGAGCAAGTTTGGTGTTTTCAGAATGTGACAAATCGACAGAGCTGATGTATATTTTTAGTTGAACTCAGCAAGCCATACCAGTTGATCCGCGATGCATACGTGTTAAGCATTCAGCATCCGAGGATTACGTCATTAGGGAGATGTTTCTATGCCAACAGCTACACTGATGTGTCAACTGACATCACATTCTATGAAGTTTCTGGAACCAAGTTCGGACGCTTGAAAAAAAAAAAAATCTCAGACCAATCTTACTCTTAAGTCTAATTGCTGACAAACAATAGGAACGATTGAACATTTCTGGAACTCGGCTGGTTAGACAAAATGCCGAGGTCTTACTTGTACTTGGGTCTTGTCCACACGAACCCGGACATAATTAACTGATAATTGACTGTGTGTGTCGGGATTATCAGTTAATTATGTCACCAGATATTTTTTATCTAGATTCGAGTGGATTGGGCCCTTAAACCGTCCGGGAGAGCGGTTTCAAAATAATGCAGTTTCGGTGTCCGGATTCATTGGTTTCGTGAGGACGGAAGGTCGATTCGTGTCGTATCTTTAAGTCGTCACGCAACGCTCCTCCCTACAAACGGCGTTTGTGTGAAGGAGCGTTGCGTGACTACTAAAAAGGACGGCTGTGTAGCAGACTAACTCGTACTCGAAACTACTAAAACGCCTCATTTTCACACAATCTGTCTCTTTGTTATTTTATTTATTCATTATGTGCAGTTGTGTAAGTAAAATATAATTCATCATTCAGAGTAGAAACAGCAAGGAAGGAAACTGAAAACTTTTGAAGTTCACAGATTTCATTTGGTGGATTGGAGGGGAATATATAGTACAGTGAACAAAATATTTTGTTTGTCATTTACAATTATTTACTCTTTCTTTTATCTCTAATAGCATTATTTGTTATTATTTTGTGTGTTCTATAATATCCGAAGTTGACCCGGAAACTTCCAAGGTTCTCTTTAAGTATTTACCACTATCACATTACCCATAATACCCATCGTCCGAAGGCGTCCGAAGTTGACACGAACACTGAGCGACTTCACAAGAATTTCGATTGTCCTGCAAGGTTAACACATTCTAGAAATTATTTTTTGTTGACTGTACTATAAAAAAAATAGAAAAAAAATTAATCGAGGTTGTGAGATTTTCTGAAGAAAAGTACTTTGTTTCCTATAAGATTAGACGGTAAAAAGATTTTGAAAACGGTTTCCGTAAAATTTCGCAAAATACGCCACTCTAAGTATAAAAAAATCTGTTAAAAATGCCTTTGTTGATTTGCAGTCAGATTGAATGCAAATACGAAACGCATTTCCGGTAATTCGTTGAGTCTATCGTGAGCCCAGAACAAGGATCTCTGCACTGCTTCGCAGACGTCACTAACCGGGGTTAAATTACATCTGCGACGCAGGCTAGTTTGCTATTTAAGTACGCGCTATTTGCGACGATTATTTGTGCCAATTGACTGAAAAAATATTCATACAAATGTTGTATACTTCGTAAAAAAAAAAGTCTTAGCTAAACAGTTAAAAAAATGTTCCATTCACAAAACTCAAACACAGTCATTAAACACAGTAGTTTGTGTTTATCGGAAACCAAAAATGTGTGCTTGATCCTTTAAACCCCATTTTTATCCACAAACAGATTCTCCAAAGTGACCTCCATACATTAACTTAAAAACATTGGTTAAGAGAATTTAATAAATATCATAGTATCTTCCCTTTGGGGATCAATTTGTTAATTGTCACAACGTTTTTCTTGGTGATGCATAAATATTGTTTGGAGAAAATTGATAATGATCACCACTGGGACCCAAAGAGTTAAATCCGTGATAGCGAGTCTTAACGGAAGTTTATTTCAGGCAAGGGTCTGTAATTTTTGCCGGGGGCATATTATCTGGTGTGAGTTGATTTACTTCAGAGGCCAGAGTTTTAATTATACTCAGGGGCACCCAACGACAGTTTCCTCCTAAATACATTGAAAACACTTTTTAGGCTATCAAGAGTACTCTTAGATCTCTAGAAATGCATTTTGAGCGGCGCTATAAAATTTGTACCTGTTAGGTCATCCTAAGGGAACTTGAGTCTTTTCGAAATTACAAAGGCTTCAGTATTATTTTCCCGAAAATTTTAGATGCAATTGAACTTATTACGAAAGTGAGAATTTTTCTGATTCCTCTCCATACATTTTTGAATCGGAAAGTTTTAGGTATCCATTTTTGTACGAAAAATAGCCTAACCTGGGCGGTAAAATGTGAAAAATTAAACTTCAGAAAATCGTAGGAAATTTATTAAATAAGCTTCGAAAATTGTACATGAATGGAATAGTCATACAAAAATTTTTAGCTGTCCTCAAGTAACAGAAAATTCTAGGCAACATTTGCTTCTCCGACGGATATTTTACAGAAAACAGTCGTTGGGTGCCCTGATATACTAACATTCACTTTGGGTTAAAAACATGTCTGAATGAAGTCAAAATAACTTTTATAAAAATGATAAATAATTCCTGCATAACTACAGTCTCACTGCTTATTTGAGGGGACAAGTTTAAATATATAAAGTGCACTGCACTCGTATGTGTTATTTACATCATTGTATTGAATACTGTGCAATTGTTTGAAAAATATATACGGTGCTTTGAGGCCCGAAAACACGCTACAAATAAATAGTCACCAGAAAGAAACAACTATTCAAGCAGGGACGGCTTTACACTTAAAATCACTCTATTCTGTCGGAGCCTTGTTTCAAGCTTTGTCTAGGTCAGCGCCCACACTTGATCGAAAGCCTTCATTAACCTGGGGACTCACACTGCGAGGGCTTGTTGGCAAGTTTCTGGTTTCAATTCCTGTCAAACAAACAGATATTTAAGGTGGAGTCAGTGAACACCCCTTCAACACAAAACTTGTGTTGCCTCTGTTGCTTACAAGTTTTCCGCCTGCGATTCATACCCTCTCGCAATACAGTTGTCTGCCGATAACTCAAAGGGGAATCCTTGCGCTAACTCGAACCAAAGTCAATTTCCCTTAGATTTCCTTCATAGATTTAGTGTAATTTTACCCTCTATAACTCGAACCTCCCGCTAACTCGAAGTAAATTTTGTTTCCCTTCAAACGATTTCTACAATTATAATTTTAGCCTCGTTAACTCGAACTATGTTTTAAGCGCGTGACAAGTCGAAAAAAACAAACAAACAAACAAACAAACAAAACAGTGTACTTAAGTCCCAGACATTGAATATATTTATAAACAAAAGTGTCAATTCTTTGTGTATATTAATCAAGCCTTGCTTAAAAGGGGTGGTGGTCGGGGAAGGCCTGATTTTACCATAGTTTTCAGGGGGGGGGGGCAGGAAAAAAGTCACTTAAGCCATACGAAGAATCAATTCTCCATTGCAAAAAGAAAAAAAGAAACAAACTAGCGCGGACAAAGGAAAGCTCGATCAGAGGAAGTTGGAGGTCATACAGCCGAAGATAAAAGACAAATCTAACCTGCGACTAGGCGTTTTTTTTTTCGGGAAAAGCAAGAAAGTCGGCGGACCGTGTCAAACAATTGAATATGTTTAAAAAAAAAAGTGTTAATTTTTTGGTTATATTAATCAAGCCTTGCTTAAAAGGGGGGGGGGGCGGGGAAGGCGTGTTTTTACCATAGTTTGCGGGGGGGGGGGTGCAGGAAAAAAGTCACTTAAGCCATACGAAGAATCAATTCTCCATTGCAAAAAGAAAAAAAGAAACAAACTAGCGCGGACAAAGGAAAAGCTCGATCAGAGGAAGTTGGAGGTCATACAGCCGAAGATAAAAGACAAATCTAACCTGCGACTAGGCGTTTTTTTTTTCGGGAAAAGCAAGAAAGTCGGCGGACCGTGAAAGGGAAAAAAACATCCAGCACTGAATAATCCAGAACCGAAGGACTTTATAAATGGACACGCCGCCTAAAGGAACATGTGCTAAATATATAATATAGATTACGAAAGTGGAGTTTCTCAGTCCTTAACTATCCTCCCTTCAGTCACGGGGGTCAGATAAAAGGGGAAGGGGGGGGGGGTTAACTTGCAGTACGTACCATCGTTGTCCGGTGGTGGGATGGGATATCCGCCATTCTGAGTCCCATTACTCACGGGCTTCTTGCCATTAGCAACAGCTAATTCATAGCTAGCATTGTCTCCCGGCAAACCAGCCGGGTGGACTGGGGACAAACGGCCATTTTTGTGATCGTGATCCTTCGCAGACTCATAAGGAGAAGGCCCAATCGCGCTGAGGATCACGGGAAGGTAGCACAATCCGTGAAACATTCCGTAAAAGACTACACAGAAAAACACCTGCAAAAGGAAGGTGGCATCGGTAATTTAAGGCATTTTTCACCAGCTTCCCGGTTTGTCAATTAACTGACAAGACTGTAAAAGGAGAGAACAATTAAGGATGGATCATGGTTTGAAAAATACGGCCGACTATTAAAACAAAAAAACACCATTTCCAACCCCTTAAAAGCTCGTACAGATTATTTTTCTTTGTTAATAGGGAGCTTAAGCAATAACGACGGCCACGGCAATGACAAACGTCACTTAAAAAGTGAAATTGCGCTTCCTCAAACTTTTTCGCGCTTATTCCAACTCGTTCAATTCGTCAAATGTTGACAAATCTTTCTGGAGTTAATTCAAAAAGACTTCAAAGTTCAGGAAAAGAAAAAGAGAGTCGTTGTCTTGTGTTCACGAAACATGTATTTCCGCCCGGCGAAACATATATTTCTTACCCCCTTACAGCCAAAGCAAAACCGTATCCACCATCCAAATTATCCAGCAAGGAGAGCCCATATCACCTCTATTTACCTTAAAGAAAGTCTTGAAAACGTACGAATTGGAAAACGCCAGTAGCACAATGGCTAAAAATGTACTAAAACCACCGTTCCATACTGCTGGTCCAATATCGCGCAAGGTTGCGCGGGCGCGATCTACAAAGAAAAACATTGTCTCTCATCAAAAAGGGACCCTTCAGCATATTTTTCACCTGTGTACGCATCCTCGGAGACCCAGGGGCAGTCAGTCAGGTCGGGAGAAAAGGCGGGACGAAAGTTTTCAAGTACGGGCGAAAGAGCTTTTCGCCCGTACTTCAAAACTTNATGGATCATGGTTTGAAAAATACGGCCGACTATTAAAACAAAAAAACACCATTTCCAACCCCTTAAAAGCTCGTACAGATTATTTTTCTTTGTTAATAGGGAGCTTAAGCAATAACGACGGCCACGGCAATGACAAACGTCACTTAAAAAGTGAAATTGCGCTTCCTCAAACTTTTTCGCGCTTATTCCAACTCGTTCAATTCGTCAAATGTTGACAAATCTTTCTGGAGTTAATTCAAAAAGACTTCAAAGTTCAGGAAAAGAAAAAGAGAGTCGTTGTCTTGTGTTCACGAAACATGTATTTCCGCCCGGCGAAACATATATTTCTTACCCCCTTACAGCCAAAGCAAAACCGTATCCACCATCCAAATTATCCAGCAAGGAGAGCCCATATCACCTCTATTTACCTTAAAGAAAGTCTTGAAAACGTACGAATTGGAAAACGCCAGTAGCACAATGGCTAAAAATGTACTAAAACCACCGTTCCATACTGCTGGTCCAATATCGCGCAAGGTTGCGCGGGCGCGATCTACAAAGAAAAACATTGTCTCTCATCAAAAAGGGACCCTTCAGCATATTTTTCACCTGTGTACGCATCCTCGGAGACCCAGGGGCAGTCAGTCAGGTCGGGAGAAAAGGCGGGACGAAAGTTTTCAAGTACGGGCGAAAGAGCTTTTCGCCCGTACTTCAAAACTTTCGTCCCGCCCTTTCTCCCGACCTAACTGTCTGCCCCTGGGTCTCCGAGGATGGTGTACGGGGCATCTTTCACACAGTTATTTTAAACGGGTATTCTCATTAACGTCGACGCCACATGGTATAGGCCATTTTCGAGTTTCAAAACCTCTCACTTTCAAAACGAGGCCAAGTTGAAAACCTTTCTTGTGAAAATGAGTTTCATTTGCATGAGAATCAATGGCTTTGCACTTAGCCTCGCTTTGAAAAGGAGGCTTGGGGCAACCCAAGAATAGCCTATTGACTGGATCATATTATTGTGTGAAAATCAAATCCTGCACGAACGAGAATCCCACGTCACTTCCCTATGGTGTCCACATACAGCGGACTCTCTTAAAGTCACCCCTACAAGACGGAGACTTCGGTAAAACGGAAACCTATAGTTGGTCCCAGCCGTTCTTTACTCCCTTTCTTTGACTCTCCATAAGACGGACATCAGTCTTAGTTTAGATAATAGCATGAGTTGTAGTGATATTTGGCATAAATACCACGAGTGATATTTCAAAATTGTTATACAAGCCGTTAGGCGAGTGAAATTTGAGACAACTTTGAAATATCACGAGTGGTTTTTACGCCAAATATCACGCACAGATCATGCTATTATTTGTTTATACTACTACCAGCAAAAGGTTTGTAATTTTCACATGTAGGTTATTTCAAATTAAGCTGAAATACCACTGTTTTAAGCCAATCAAATTGCAGACATTTCTCATTTAGTAGTATAAGGGATATAACAGAGTGGCTTAATATGAAGCAGTAACAGTGAAATGCTGTCAAAAACCTACCGTATCGTGTGCCAGCTATTATCATGAATGTGTGCGCAACATGGGACGCATAATCCACAGACAGACCAACAGCTAGCACCAGAATGATGGTGTTCACAGTATCAATAGTCAGGCCCCAGAACTGCATTGTACCAGTAATACTGACCTATAACAAGTCTTAATGTAAATAACACATTCACGCCTTGCGTACCTCTTTTTTCGAAACAGGTCGTGCATCGACAGCAAATTTAAACTTTCAAAACGATTTTACAGACATTGAAGATAGAGGATGATATTATTCCTCCGAGGCCGAAAGGCGTGGTAGGTGACACATTCACGCCTTGCGTACCTCTTTCTTCGTAAACAAGGCTTAAAATTTCGGCCGGTCAACGAACAATGTCCGGCCAAGATGACCATTTGTCCGGACAAACTTTCAGCTCGTCAGTCATTTTGACCGGTCAGGTAAATGGGTTTCAAATAAATAACTAGAAAACATGTATGCCACATAGCTGTTTGTTAAAATAAAACAGAAACATCTACGTCTCTAAGTACGCCAAACAGACGACCATAAATATGGCATCAAGTCTACTAACAAAAAAGGCGGGAAACAACAACACTCGAAAGTGGTTTTATTATTCGCCATCTGCAAACATGCACTCAACTGTAGTCAAAAAACTTACCAGAGTAAAGCCTACACAAGAAAAGACCATGAGGCACGTCCAAATGTTTGCGAGAACAACAAGGGTGACTAGGAATACAGCCATCAGAGCGAGGGCCATGTTACGAAAGAGTTCCTCTGAAATAACCTGAAATAAGGAAAAATTTCACTACATACTTCGCCTCAACCTTTGCAGTTTTGTCCGTTCCAGTAATTCTTTAGTGACCCTTTCAATAAACGCGACGGAGCATTACTTTCACGTCGCGCTGATACGTAATATCAGTGTTACTCTGACAAGGTGGTAATAACATTTGAGTCCTAAAAGTGTGACCATTCAAATGAAAGCTACTGAGCAGTACTTTCCTGTGGTACAGTATATTATGCTGTAGAATGAAGTTTTATCTTTTCAGTCTGTGAAACAAATCCTATGGTGTGACCCTACGGTCATAACTTCCTTTCTCATGATCGCGCACGTTGTTTTACAGTCAAAGATGCAAGAAGTAAGCAGTTTCTTCGATAAACCACACCTTCGAGGAAAGTCTTTGGGAACGAAGGTGAACTTTTACCTGAACTTGTAAAACCGTTACCTACACGTAGGGGTTAATGGGGGCGATATTAAGAGTAGCGTCTTAAAACATTGTTTTGACAAAGATCCAAAAGACCATTCAGTAAAATTTTATTGCGGGCGACCAGGAGCCCGCATGAAGCCAGCGTTCATTAAGATCCTCACTTACAATGAACGCAATCCGACTCGCGTTTGCAGTGGCAGATCCAGACCTTCAGGTAGTTGGGGGGCGGTCGTACAGACCGTGAGATAAGGAGGGGGCCCGGTCTCCAAAAAATGTTTTTGGCCCTTCGGGCCTCAGTTTGGTCTAAAAATAAGGGGGGAAGGGGGCCGAGTCCCCCGGGGCCCTACCCTGGATCCGCCACTGGTTTGTATCTTCTGTCACTTGTAATCTGATCACGGGCGTTTTGACCAACTATCACGTAAACCATAAGGGCAAGAGCGTTTTGACCTTCGATAAGAAGCCCGAAACTTGGTCGCATTTAGCAACCATTCGTTCTTACTACTTTTATAAATACCTTATTTGTTTCCCATCCCAGATAGAACCGTGAATATGGAAAAGCCAAGTCATCAGCAAACACCTTTTCAATCTTCTCACGCAAATCGTCCATAGCTTTTGCCTCTGTTTGTGTAGAGTCCATATCTATGTGTCTAAAATTGAAGCGACTTGCCTGTTGAAAGAAAAAGGAAAAATCAGTGGCGATAAAGGACATTGCGTGAGTGGCAATTCATCCCATTGATTGTGATCCGGATTCCGAAATGCGAGAAAACAATTTTGCTAGGTGGAATCTTGAATCTTGGGGTTTGGAATCCGTAATTTAGCTCAAGCAAACCGAAATCCCGATAACGATTAAAAATCCGGAATCCGGAGTTCAAGTTCCATTGACAAGAATCCGGTATCCAGTACCTGAAATCCGGAATCCCCGGCGTGGAATCTTGAAGCCAAGGATTCCCTTACATGGACCGAGAGTGGTGGTGACGTGCCGCTTCCGGCTAAAAAACTGCGCAACGTTACTATGTAAAGAATACACCATTTAACAGTTATGCGCTTAGAAACCTGACCCTTCTGATAAAGCGAGGATAACGCTGGACGTATGATAAAACTGCGCATTTCTTCCTTTCCTACGGAAATTGCGCGATCGAAATTCCACTCGCTAAAGGGGAATGGGTACGAGCTTTCAGCGCAATGATTCCTGGGATCGTTTGGGTGGACAAGCGTTACTTATTATTGGCTAATGGTTGCCTTGGATACCGCATCGACCAATCATAACTAACGCTTGTCTACCCAAACAATCCCAGAAATCACTGCACCAAAAGCTTGTACCCAGTCTCCTTAAAGTTTCTGAAGTGGGGAGTTACAGACATTTGCGCGCATTTTCGCAATTCTAGGAAAATATTACTCATCTTTTGAAAATATTTAAAGTTACCTTGATCTCGGGGTGTTGTTGCCCGCTGACATTTTTGAACTGAATATCTTTTTGGTAACTGATTCCTGGTCCTTTAACAAATTCTGAAAGCCATTCGTGGAATTTACTCTTGTTGCGTATCTTCCCTAAAATAGAAATAAGTTCTATTCAATAACTTGGTCAAAAGGACATTTGTAAACTGGCCAACTAACTGTTGAGTCTCTGGATAAAAACCTTAGTTTGACCATTCAAATGAAAGCTACTGAGCAGTACTTTCCTATGGTGCTGTTTATTATGCCGTACAAGGTGGTTCTATCTTTAGAGTCTGTAGATGAAATCCTAACGTGTGACCTTTCAAATGAAAGCTGCTGGTCAAAAGGACATTTGTAAACTGGCCAACTAACTGTTGAGTCTATATTAGATAAAATCCTTAGCTTGACTATTCAAATGAAAGCTACTAAGCAGTACTTTCCTGTGGTACTGTTTATTGTACTGTATCAGGTGCTTATAACATCTGAATCTGTGGATGAAATCCTTCAGTGCAACCATTCAAATGAAAGCTATTGAGCCGTACTTTCCTTCGGTACTGTCTTTAACGGCATATAAGGTGTTTCTTTTCTAACGTTTTCGAGTCTGTAAATGAAATTCTTAGTTCTGCCAGATTATTCAAATGAAACTACTGCACAGTACTTTCCCGTTTTACTGTTAATCTATATTGCACTGATCCGTACCACCGCTAGCCTGCGAGCAAGCTCTCCATTTGGGGAAGTCGTGAGAGGTCACGCGAGAGAAGCACGTGAAAGGAGACACGATTGCGAAGGGCGAGGCGTGTTTCTAAATGTACGGCAACCATTCATGGCGGGTCAGCCAGGAATATCATCAATCCAAATCATTTGACGGTGCATCATTTTTCAGCCAATGGTATTTTGCTTCGTCAAGAAGAAGAAGAAGCTTTTTTGTTTACATCCACAGTAAATAAATTACAAATACAGACTACCTGCAAAATAGTAGAGCTAATCGAGGCAGGTAGTATGGAGACGTGTCTATTACATTATACTGGGAGCGTAAAAAGACACGTCCTGTCAGTAACGCACATGCACAATCCCGGGTGAAGCAGAAATGAAAATTTATAAGAGATTTTTGCAAGCTCTCCTTTCTTCCGCAACTCGCGGCTTCGCCGCTCGCTTGCGCGTTCTCTCGCGGGTTCGCTTCGCTCGCCATACATGAAGACCATGCTAGCAGGCTATCCACCGCAAAACAGACAAATTGAGTAACTAACATGGAGTTGAGCTCTGGTCGAACTCTTGTCCAGGTTTGTTTCGTCTGGCCCACTTGATGTACTCCTCGTACCAACTATTCAATGAGGTGGTGACCACATACTGATCATTGACAACAACATCATGAAGTTGGTGAAGTTTGCCTTGGTTTGCATAATAATCGAACTTTGCTGTATGAGAATAAATTCAAAGTAAATAGAGTAAACTAAATAAGAAATAAAAGGAAACTGTCAGTGTTACAAAAATTAATTACTTTCCTGTGGGATCAGTCATTAGGAAATTTGCTAAACAACCCACGAAAGAAAATTCCCTGCTAACAGAGGCCTCGTTTCTTTCGTACTTGCTAAGCTGACGAACAGGAAGGAAAGAGACCTGGGTCGAAACAGACTGTGCTGAGCATGTACACGGCTATCAAGCGACCAAACCGTCACTTGATGAACAAAGGAGACTTTTGTCTGATTGGCTGTGTTATTTTTTAGTGCTCAGTCTTCTTACCGCGCGAAAGTGAGTAAACAGGGATCGCTAACAAAGTAACGGTTTCTTGTAATCCTTCTCGTCAGCTCCTCGAATGCAAAAGAACAGGGGCGTCTGCTAGCAGGAAAGAAAGGAAACTTTTACGTGTACATTTAATGAAAGTACATCAACAAAATGGAGACAAGCGTTGCGTGACGAGACAAAAATGGCTGCGAGGGAGACTAATATTCAACAGGCTCGAGAATCCATTTGGCAATATTACTTCCTATCATTTTACCTGTGTAGATGCTTGACTGAGCGCCATCCACTGGGAAAAACTGCAAAAAATTATTGACCACAATAAGATCAACACAATATCTTTAAGACGCTGCAAGTAAATGATGTCAGTTCTCTGTAAAAACTAAGGAAATAATGTCTCGACCTTTCGGCGACCTCATGACGCCATTAGAGACCTTAAGCAAGGACGACGACGACGACAGTGAAAACGTCAGTAAAAAAGTGAATTTACGTTCTTTCAAACTTAATCGCGTCTATTTGGACCCGTTCAATACGTCATATGCAGGCGACTTTTCCTGGAGTTGAATTCTTAAGGATTTTATTCAGGTTCATAAAGAGGAAGGAAAATTTGTCGTCGTATGTCCACGTCCTCCATAAAACGTTAAATTAGAAGGTTTCACATCGTAGTCGTGCAGTGGACGTCAAAGAAATGTACTAAAAAGCGCGATGCACGTGCAAAGCTGTTGTTTTGATCATTAAACCTGTTTTTTTTTGAAGTCGTCGTTGTTTGTCGTCGTAGTTTCTTAAGCTCCCTATTATCAACGAATGGAAATAAATTAATGCGAGTTCAAAAGGAGTTAAAGTACTCTAACTCTGTATAAAATTAAAAGTACAGCTAGACAAAGACTTAAGCACGTATTGAACCCTTTTTCACGTTCAAAGGCGGTCTTAATGGTTTGATGTACAGCATTCCGAAGTGAGGTCGCCGAAACTTCGAGGCATTATTTCGTTAGTTTTTATACGCATTTTATTATTATTTATTACTCAATAACTTTGAACATGATCTCCCAATTCCATTGCGGAGACAAGCAATTTGGTAATTCTTACGTTTGAGTCTGTGTTGTATCAAATTGCACAATGGGACTTTTTTGAATTACTTCTTTTATTGGCTATTACGAAAATGAACAGGAACCTGGGTCAAAATTCGCCCCCAAACAATCCCATGGTGAAGTTCGGCACTACACCGACACAGTCCAACGCACAACTTCAAATTAAAATGGTCAAACTGGTGTGCCCATTCAAATGAAACCTCTTTTTTAGTGCTACTTTCTGCACATGCATGGCGCTGTTAAGTTTGCAGCTCTATTTTTTCAGTCTGTGAATGAAATCTTATGGTGTGACCATAAAACTCTTTAGCAGTACTTATCCATAGCAACAGTTGCATACTTATTTCAGCATTTTAAAGACTAAGAATTGGAATTTTTTCTGAATTAAACCTTTTGAATTTTGAATTCTTGAATCGCGTTATCTAACTTTGAACAACCGGAGCTCGTGTTATTAAACCACCTTGAATGTGCCAAAATGGCAGCAAATTTAAACGTTCCAAAAAGCAAATATTCTAAGAAAAGCACATTGTGTTCAAATCAAACTTTTTTTGCGCAGAGGTTCTCGCAGTAATGTGTACTTTTAATTACAAAAATAAAAAGTTTAGATTATTGGCACATTAAAGATACCTCGCGGTTTGCCATCTCGTATTTGTAACCCATCGAATCAGGCGGCAAAAACCAAATTTGATCAGTAAACTGCTCCATCATCAGAGTTCCATATAAATTAAAACCAAACAATCCAGCGGTAATGATCATCACTATAATCTGCAGAAGAATAGGAAAAAAGAGGGATTTTTAGCAATTAAGGCCACGTCTACAGAATTTTTCTCCGTTTTAGCCTTCCAACCAAAAGTAAACAGCACTTCCGGACACCAGAGAAGCAGGTTTTTAAAAACGGTCCGCGGAGTTGAGATTTTTGAAAACGAACGATTGTCGTTATCGTGTAGAGAATGGGTAAGTAATTTATCAAGCATGAGACGCAGGGTTTTATCACCACATGAAACACTGAGAAAAGAATTAAAAATACGACGCGCAGCGGAGTAGTTTTGACGAACTTCGAGGTGTTTCATCTGGTTATGTTATACTGTGTCGAATGCTTGATATTACTTCTCAAACAAAATGATTTTTGAAGGAGAATTTAAGGATGCAAAAATGAGCAGTTTTTCATCTGATTTCCAAACAATCATTAAACTTTAATTTCCTTTGTATTTTCCTTATGAATTATTAATGAGTTTGAGTAATGTAAAAAATAACTATCGAAATATCGCGATACCTTATTCAAAAAACGATATTCGTACCGTAAGAAGAAATATCGCGGCTCACCAGGTAAATTGATTTATTATTGCAGCTCTACTAAACATGTAAAAGATCCTAAATGACTGACAACTTAGAGAAAGTTGGGTCTGTAATTCATTTATTTTATTATATTTGCGCTATTAAAGTTTAAACACCTTTATTGCTAGATGGAGGTTGGGTGCCTGGAGTATCCAGGGGCTTCCACTTTTTGCAGCCGGCCCCTAGATTGAAATAACGCCCCTATGGTTGGAACAACAGCGGAACCCAGCCATGAGCCCCCGCGCATAAAGTAAACAAAAGATGCACCTGTCACACTGAAAAATAATTCTGTAAAGAAAGAACAACAGGGAGGTTGTAGGGGGAGGGAGGGGGGGAGTGGAAAGAAAAATTAGCTGAAAAAAACCTCGTGGCAGGAAAAAAGCTGAACGAAGGAAACCTCCACACGCCAACCAATCATGTGAAAGACGCAGCGGACGAGCATGTGCATACCGAACAACAGCGAACCACTAGCACTGAAGGCGCCATTAGTTGTTAACTCCTTTTAATTGGATAAAATGAAAGCATTTACCTTTCCTGGAAGAGACAGCAAGACTCGTCCAAAATACTTGTCCATTATCTCCTGTAGAAGATCCCTCTTACCACATTCTGATTCGGTGTAATCATCTCTCAGTCTGATACAGCAGCAGCAGCCATCGCGTTTCTTTCCCTGCCTACAGATAATCAATTTAATAATCAATTTTTACTCGCCTGAGTATACAGCCGACATTTCCACGAAATGACACTTGAGAAACGCCCACAGAAATTCCATCTTCATGGCGTGTCACTAACCAGATCAGGATAGTGATTCTGATTGGTTGAAGCATACTACCCTTGCGGCTGGCCCAATCGGAAGCACTACTTAGGTCTACGTAGTGACACGTCATCAGTATAGAATTTCCGCGCTCTTTCCTCAGACGTCATTTCGCAGGAAAACCAACGCTGGTGTCACGAAATGTCACGAAAATATTTATGAGATACCGTATTTTCTTGATTCCTTGAAAAGTTAAGCCTCTTAGTTCAAGATACAAAAATAGCGTTCGTGCTATATTTTACAAATCTCTTCCCTACATTCCATGCCTTTGCACGACTTTTTCCATGACGTTTTCCAGTTTTCCATGATTTTAAGTTTGGCTGTCACTTTGAAAACGTTCGAACCTATCCTTTTATTTTCCTGACTTAGCGCAGTTAAACAGACACAACTAGAAACGCAGTCCGGACTGTTAAAAAGCTAGTCTTTATTTTGTAAGCTTTATCCTTTCGTTGTTATCTCCAGTTCCAACCAAACACAACTATGATTTTCCATGACTTTTCGTGACCCACAATTATATTCCATAACTCCCAAGCTTAGAAAATGAAATTCTTAAATTTCATTACTTTTTTCATGATCCGCCCGAACCCTGTGCGCAAAAAAACAAAACCAAACAAAACAAAAAAACAAACAAAAAAAATTGAGATTAACCCTACACTCCCCCTCCTTCCGCTAACTAAAAAGATCTAATTTCTTTCTTCTGAAATTTATCCTAAGCCCTCTACCAAAATAATAATAATAATAATAATAATAATAATAATAATAATAATAATAATAATAATAATAATAATAATAATAATAATAATAATAATAATAATAAATCATTTGAATGGTAACACCATAGCATTTTGTTTTTATATATGTATAACATGGTCTAGGACTGGAAAGGTTAAGAACTGTACCTCCGGGCATCTAAAGCCAAGAACGCTGTAAACAGTGTGGCTTGAAGAGCAAAGTCTGCTAAAATTCCTGAAGGAGAGAGTCAAAATAATTATCATAATTTACACAAATACAAATGACTTTACTGACTCTGCACGGAGGAATTTTCAGAATCAATTTAATTTTACAGCGTACTTACAACTAATAAAATTACAATAAGAAATGCATAATTACAATGCTGTTAGACGTGAGTTTAGAAATAAAAATATCTAGCTAAAAAGAATCAACGATATGTCGGATTTATTACCCCTCGAGTCACCTTTCCAATACGAAATGTTTAAGGGACGATTTAACCTGTGGAAGGGAGGGCGAGTTGTGAATGTTGCTAGGCAACAAGTTAATACTGTCACCGCGACTCACGTAACAGTTTCAACACAAAAACTTTGAAAAAAAACCGGTTGAAAAAAAATGTTCTTTTGTTCTGATACTGACTTACCTATTCCAGCAAAAATGCAAAATGATCTTAAGGCTGGTAAAATCTAAAGAAAAACAATAAAAGTTACAAAGGAAATTAAAACACAGACTACACTAAGTAAAAACAAATACAGTGGTACTCCGCTCTACAGACACCCATATACATGAACAGTTTCATTTGTCCCAACGGAAGGCTAATTTATATTTTCTAAAAATACCCAGCTTATTATGGACACCGTTAATACGGACAACAGACACTTTTCTGTGTCCCGAGTTGCAAACTTTTCTATATCGTCGATCCCACTTTACGGACATTTATGTTCTGCGCACTGTCTATAAGACCCAATAACTGAATATCTTACCGATGAAATAACCTAACAGAAACGGACAAGTCACCTTTTAAAAGTTCTGTCTGATATTCACTTCACCTGGCAGAGTCGCAAACTTTCAAGCGTCAGTACAAAGTAAAGTCACTGACTGATTCCACTAGCATGTTTCAAGAACAATACTTTAAAGATGATTTTAGTCTGAGACTATAACTTATGAGCGTGAGATTTTTGAAGGATGAACTTGTTTCAGTTGCAGTTAAGAAACTAAAAAGCGCTTTCTTGCTAAAACGTCGGCTTCGGACAAAAAAGAATATAAGATCATTAATTGCACAATGTAAAACCAACTTTTGCCCACATTTAAACCATAAAGATTTATTTCCTACAAAACCCTGACCTCATAACGTACATGTACAAGTTTATTTAGTAAAACTCACAGTGCTTGCTCCAATCATGAAAGCCAAGAAATCAGTCAAAGATGTTATCGTGATAGAGACACCCTGCAGGACAGAAAATCATGGCAAATTTTATACAAACCAATAAATCTTATCATCAAATTTCATCACGCTAGCTCCTCACAAGTTTCTATTCTCCCCCTGTCCACCCATGGAGTGGGTTTCTAGGGGTTCGTACACTAATAAAATATCGTTTTTGTTTTCTGCGGAACACAAGCCAAATTTTATGTACTTGTTAAAGGATATCCATCACTCTGATTATTCCTAAGGCTGTGCTGACACTGTCAGAAGTAAAAGATAAGGCGGTATATGTTCCAAAGCAAGCTAAAATACATTTGTTGGAAAATCGACCAGGAATTGAACTTACAGCATGTTGTAATGCTACGCCAATGGCCTCAGGGACTCCACGGTTTTTGACGAAATCAGGAGGTAAGTTATTCCATGCTTGCACAATAACAAACATGTCATCAACTCCGATACCTGTAAAGAGACATATTTCAGTTATTTTTCTTCTTTCATTTTCGAGTTTCTCACTTCTTAGCCTGTGCCATAGACAGAACTTAACTTCCGATTAAGCCTATCTGTGCAACAGTGCTAAAATCCATTTCCTGGGCTCCCACTTGTGTATCAATATTTGACCAAGAGCCATGACTGGCCTGTTAAAAATGCCCCTTTGATTAGCCAATCAGGGGTCGATTTAATAAAACTCTTCAAGTGTAATTTACAAGTATAGCTATTGTTTTCGGACCCTAAAGCAATAGCTAAGTACTCTTGTAAATTACACTTGTAAAACTTTTACCAGATTGATCCCAGGTTGAAGGGAAATTCAAAATGAATTTCCAGTGATTTGTTGAGCCTGTTGGGCGCCCCAGAAAAAAGACATTGGTGCTGCTTAGCAAATGTTACTTTCCGAGGTTAGATTGATTATCTGGATTAGAGTCAATTTAAACTTAAGAACGTAAAGTTTCAAAGGTGATAAAAGAATTGAAGTTTGAACCAATTAGACTGCATTCGTGCAGGCCTCATTATTATCTACTGTAGATGTCTTAATAGGAAAGCTTAGCATAACTTAAGTCCGATTGCATGTTCAGTGATGGTCAGAGTTCTTGTACATAGCATCTCGTACACATCTGGAATTTATTTCTGCATTTTTTGACGACTGAAAAATTGTCCGTAAGGGTTGATTTATCGACCCACTTTTTTTTCGGATCAATTTAGGTTTCCGGGAAACTGCCCACCTACCTCTTCCCTAAGCTAACATTAACACTTACTTCTCCCTTAGTGCAAAAAATGATGGCTCAGGGGAGGGGTAGGTGGGCAGTTTCCAAGAAACCTAATTCATCCTTTTTTTCATGTGCCTCCCAATCAACGAATTTGAGCTTGTGTGTTCGCTGACGCGCTGATGTAGGTTTCAATCGGTGAAATCGAGATAGAAGAACAGAGAAGATGGTGAGTTGGATTTTACCAAGTAGAAGGAAAGGTAAAGTTGAATGAACAGGGCCATAAAAAGCACCAAATCCACTGGAAAGCCCAAATGACACCCCAATTGCCAAACCAATGCACACGACTCCCAGCAATCCCAGCCATGCCTATTGAGAAATTAAAAATCTATTTCAGTTAAATGTACATGTACTTAAAATCTACATAAATACATTGTTGACTAAAAAGTCTTTTTCAAGAAGAGATCCCAACGCATCCTCTTTACGGAAGATAATTAATTATCTTCTTTATGGAAGATGATTTATAACATGCAATTTTTGCGTTGTAATAAGTGTAGTTCCACATTGTGGCTAAAACGTCTTCTTATATTCTAAGTAGCATAGTACAGTAGGTTAAAAACAATGGAGAATTAAAAAAAGTAAGTTAACAGTAAATTTGGCCATGGTTGCTTACAGCAGGTGATCGTTTACAAGAGGTTTCAACTGTAACGCTTCGAAGGGAAAACATTGGTGTTTTGGTATAAGGTGGTTGCTTATGGGAGGGAGTCACACATGGAGGTTGGATGGTATTATGAATTCTCATGCACGATGATAGTAACAACATTTAAAGGCTTTCCACATCCTACCTTAACGTTTAGGCGTGTGAATTTTCCAAGCATGATAGCCACATAAGCAATAATAAGCATGTACCCAATGGACAGGAGTTGAACATCGCCCTGTATGCTCTCCCCTGAATCCGTTTGAAATCTGTTTATTTAGACAATTTCAAAAAATAACTGTATCACATATATGGGACTTAATTTATTCGGACTGTTTAGTACTGCTTGATATTGGCACCTAAGATATATACAAGCTTTATAGCTTTTACATATTAAAAAAATCCAGCAAATACACTCTATCACCTCTCATCACCCTCTATCACTGGGACATTTCACAAAGAGATATCAACTTCATTTTGGCCCCCCGAAATTCCATACCGATAATTATGCACCATATAAAATCTGTCCACAATCTGGTCAGGTGCTTTGACTGGTTTACATGATAGTAAACACACTCTAGAAACCATTATTATTAATTTTATGCACGATAGTCAAGACAATTAAGGTCTCAGAGATGAAATGTACAGTGGGCTGAATCTACAAAGATAAACTTAGTCATTTACAAATAGAGTCATAGAGCAGGGAGATACATGAACATTGTAGAAGAATGGAATGAGAGAGAAAAATTATTGTGGAAGGAACAACTTAACTGAACTGAGTGGTTCTCTCACGCCCTGGACAAGAGGCAACAAATACTCTGACACTATGACACTCGGAAATACTGTAAAATTCCGAAAATTCAAAGACCCTTTTCGAGGGGCTTATTTTTGCAGGGGCTTATCTACAGAGGGAAATTTGCATTTCCAAATCGATTGGGCTAGCCTTATAGTTGGAGGAAAATTTACCATTTTTGCTTTGTTTTACTTTGTTTTGGGGGGCAATGTTCCAAGTACAAGCCCCCGAGGGGATTATATTTGGAGGGGTGATTTAACGTAGGGGTCTTTGCGTTACCGGTTTGGGGGGCTTATATTTGGAGGGGCCTATACATGGAGGGGCTTATTTTCGGAATTTTACAGTATTAAAGGAGCTGTGTCACGAAATTCAGCCAAAGTAGGTAATTACAAAATGCCGGTTAAATTAAGAGAAACATAAAAATAAGCGCTTAAAACGTTAAAGGAAGGTTCAAATAACACCACAGATACAACAGATGCCACGGATGGGCAAAACTGAAGAAGATTGAAACGGATTGAAATTAGGGTTTTTGAAAACTGTTCAGCCTAGCAGTTTTTCAAAGCTGATCTCTGCTGTTTTCAACTTGAAAAGTAATGCTCAGGAGACGTAATTATTGTTTGTCTCGATTCTCTGCTTGTGTCATTTACAAGTAATTTCTTTGCTTACTTTAACTTCCATAGAGATTGAGGGCAAGTAACTGGCAAAATTAAACAAAATGAACTGGACTGCCATGACACAGCCCCTTTAATTTTACAAAAAGAGGGAAAAGTTGCTGTACTTACTGGAGTTGACTGTAATACAACAGCTCCACTGGAGAAAGATCAATGCTAGACAACAGGTCATTGAATGCAGTTTCCCAATCTTCAGTCATTTTATCCTCCTATCAAAAGTATTGGTAATTGTGAAGAATAAATAGCTTCAGACCTCTACCAACTGTCATTGAACCCACTGAGGTAAATCAACAGAATCTATATGTGTGTAACCTCAGCAATACCCAAACCAACAGTTCATAACCATACCCATTGTACCATTAAATATGATGAGGCAAAATTTAAAGGTCATCTAGACTGAAATTTAACTGACTTCATGCTTTCCAAAATACGGATTTTTTGCTTAATATGTCAGCCTTAAGTGAAACGACAATTGAGACAGCATGGTTGTAAAGATTTTCCAAGTTTCAGCCAACAAGGGAATGGGTAAAATAAAGTAAACTTGTCAAGTTTTCACTCAAAAACTTTTTCAAATTCATCATTGCATGATTAGCGCGTGAAGAGCAAAACACCTTAATATCACAACCATGTTTACATACTCTTGAGCATGCAAACATGACTCTTGGCCAATCAAAGCAGTTGTACTATCTTAGTTATTTTACAAAATGTTATTTAAGCCCCAATAGTGACCAATATCAATTTTCTCCTAACTATACAAATACATTATCTATAGAAAAAGTTAAGAGAATTAATAAAATGATCACTAAGGGAAAATACTTAAATCTTTTAACAAATTCTCGCAACTAACTTTTAAGAAAATGTATGGAGATCAGTCTAGAGAGTTTGTGTGTTGATATTTAGAAAAGAGTGGGAATATATGCTTACCAAACGTCCCTCAGCTGTGTTCAATACAGGATTGTATTTAATTCCATAAGCTGTTATTGATGCTTCAGCTTTCACAATGTGTTTTGTTCCATTACGTTCAATCCCGCCAATGTACTGGGAAAGCACAAACTTCTTGTTGGTGACAGGGCTAAAATTAAAAAAAAATTATTAACTTAATTAACCTTGAATTTAAGAAAACCTACAAAGTCTGCATTTAATAAACACTGAGGGACCTGTAGATTCGAGGACAAGAAAGACTACGAAAATGAGATTTGACTTAAGGTTTCTTTGCTTATTGTCAAAAAATGTGACCCTCCACAGGACTTTGACACTCTGACCACATATTCAATGTACAGTCATGTAACCGATTTTGCCATTGTGATCATCTGGTCAATATCATTGTACTTTTAAATTTAAGGCAAAAAGGGTATGCTGAGCTGAATACCGTCAACTCTTGCCTTGCGCACACTCCGCTATAACGGACACCTTGATAATACGGATAGCAGCTAAATCCCAGGCAAAAATAAATTATAGATGTTTGAGTGAAATAAACTCTTACTATTACGGACTCTGGCTAATGAGGACACTAACTCAAGGTCCACCACGGTGTCTGCTATAAAGGGAATTGACTGTAGTCCCTTCCGCAGTTTTTCAATTTTTGACAAAGACCACTTAGTGAAAAACCATCGACACGGCCGACAAGAGCCTAAAAAATAGTAAAATTGCTAGGTTTTTAAGATAGACTTGTTGATACAAGCAAAGATAATGCTTGGCAAAGTTGCGAAATTGTACAGAAGTTTGTACATGGTGAGGGGACTAACTTGTCCCCCACCAAACGAACCACCTTCGCTCACTTAAGATGGTCAAATAACTTTCAAACTTGGCAAGTTTCCTAATTTTTGAGCACTCTTTTCAGTGGTGTTGACAGATTCTTGCCAAATGATCATATCACCAAAACTTGCAACATCAAAAATGTGGAAGGTGGGTCTATTGCAACAGTACAGTATAATATTTTTACCTTATGATTTCAGGTTGATTGATCTTTCTCAAAATATCATCTTTGCTAAGCTGATTAATCACAGTCTCGTTAAAAGACCAAAGCTCCAACAAACCATTAATCATGCAACTAGGACCCAGCCTAAATCAAAGAATTTAAGAAAATTGAAATCAATACACTATTATGCATAATTCAAATTGATGACCAATTAAATCTTACTACACTTGCTACAATCCAGTTGAAACTGAGGGACTAATTTGTAATGGTAACAGGAATGAGTGGAGTCCAATTCGATCTGTAATCATACGAGTGATTAACAAAATTGGATGACCGCGTAGGGGGAGTCCGATTTGTTTAATCACAAGTATGATTACAGACCGAATTGGACGACACGAAGTTCTGTTACCAATTAATCATAACTTTAACAAAATTTGTGATATAATAGGCTATTTTTTACATCAAAACACAAGAAATTTGAAATTTTGTTTTGCTAGCAGTGAAAAAAAAAGCCATTTAAGCGCCCGCGTGATGGTGCGTACTGTCCAATTACTTAGGCATGATGCGTACTGTCTTATTAAACTGTCCAATTAAGGCTGAAATCAGGGTAGTTGATAGCCAATCAGATTTGACAATTTTGTTATAGTTATGATTAATTAATTTAATAGGGAGTGAATAATCTTGGCAGGAGAGGAGAATATCATTGGAGCAACTGAAGAATACGGGGAGCCATTTATAATGTAAGGTCTTACAGAAGTAGCTTGTTAGTGGCTCGCTAGGCATGAATGTGGAAGATAAGTGAGCAAGGTACATGTAAATCTTAAGTTTAAATCAAGGATAAAATTGGCATGAAAAATTGGCAGTTTTGGTTCCTAAAATGTTTTGAGCTAAAACCTAGAACAATTTAATAAACATTTCACAGGCACCAGGTTATCCATGGAACTTATCTTTAAATAACATTTGATGCCGTTTTGACAATCCCTCTCAATCAGCAGGCAGTCCTGGAAATAAAGTCTGCAGAACACTTACCTAAAACATATTTTCTCCCAAGCTAATTCTGTCCCATTGCCGATCTTCAGGACCTTTTTGTGAATCATCATTGCCTGTTGATAAAAAAAAGGGATCGAACACCGTCCTAGAGGGGAAGGGGGGTGGGGGGGAGACTACTCGATCAATATTTTGGTATAGGTGAGCCGCTGAGGGTTTGACTCAAACATTATTTTGGTATCTATGGGTNTGAAAAATTGGCAGTTTTGGTTCCTAAAATGTTTTGAGCTAAAACCTAGAACAATTTAATAAACATTTCACAGGCACCAGGTTATCCATGGAACTTATCTTTAAATAACATTTGATGCCGTTTTGACAATCCCTCTCAATCAGCAGGCAGTCCTGGAAATAAAGTCTGCAGAACACTTACCTAAAACATATTTTCTCCCAAGCTAATTCTGTCCCATTGCCGATCTTCAGGACCTTTTTGTGAATCATCATTGCCTGTTGATAAAAAAAAGGGATCGAACACCGTCCTAGAGGGGAAGGGGGGTGGGGGGGAGACTACTCGATCAATATTTTGGTATAGGTGAGCCGCTGAGGGTTTGACTCAAACATTATTTTGGTATCTATGGGTCGTAAGGTGAGCCGTAGCCTGCAGATACAGCCATTTCTCCTAGCTCCTCGCCAACAGGGACGTTTCGCCAGGAGGAATGTCTGCGACTCAGCGACAGAAATTCCATACTGATGACGTAAATCAATATATACATAATAAACACGGTAGATATGGGGTTCCAAATGTAAATTTGTTTGATTTTATGTTTCTCCTGGTTGATTATCGTAAAGTTTTGTGATCTTTTTCTAAAGGAGAATATGTTCTAGGAATGCTGACTGTTTTGTAATAGATTCATCACATTTACATTTGACATTTGTGGCTTTTGTCTTTTGTCTGTCATTTGTAAACAATAGGTAAAACAATATAACTACTACGTCGACCAATCAGAGCTCCTGACCAGATTTCGGACAAATTTTACGTCATCAGTATGGAATTTCTGTCGCTGAGTCGCAGACGTTAAAAACTTAATGATAGCCCTGACAAACTCACACAATATTACATACCCTGTTTAGGAGAGAGAGGACGAAAACCATATCCTGTCCAGCGGCACATCCCCATTTAGGCCATATAAAGACAGTACCCCCTATGGGAACACTCTCCTTGTAGCTATCAGAACTATCCACAGCAGGATTAGCTCAGTTGGACCTAGAGCTATCCACCGGCTAAATCACTATCCAGCAGATAAGTGTTAAGAACACATTGCGCTATCCAGTGGAAAGCAATTTATCCAGTGGATATAGCGCTATCCATCTTTTTAAAAACTGAGACCTAGTGGCTAGCTCTGTCCAACTTTTGATCAACCACAGCCTGATGTATTTATCCATCTCTTAGCTTTTCACTTACCTCTTTTAAAATAGCAGGAGTCAACACATCCCCAGCAACAAGTAAAAATCTGGTCACACGCCTATCTGTTGGAAAATTTTCATCAACCCATTCCTTGTGTTTTTGTGCTTGAGAATCTCCAGGTGTCCATAACTTTTCCCCACGACTTTCTTGAGTAAATCTGACCAAGCCAACCAAACATGCTCCAACAACAAGAAGTGAAATTAGGATTGTGATCCATGGGCTTCCACCGACAGCTTTTCCCAGTCTAAGAAATAAAGGGTTAATAAAAATATTTGAGCCTGATATGGCAAAACAACAAGTATTTAGAACCAATACAAATTACTATCGTATATAAAGTAGTTCTCTCAAAATCTATCAAACAAAAACCAAACAAAAAATCCAGCACACCCGATAAAAAATTGCAGTCTTGATCAATTATGAAGTGGGTTTGACCATCAAACACAATCAGACTGAACTTTTTGGCAAGTTTGACGCCCAAACACAACATAACTTGATTATTGCTTTGATTCAGTTTGATCTGTTCAATTGAGCTCTAGAGAAAAGGGATTTTATTTTTGATACACTCTAAGCATAGAATTTTTGCATAATGCCATTCTTAAAACAGAAATTTCTACTTAAAGGATAATAATTTGTCTTGTTGCAAAAGGCCCAATATAACAAAAGCTTTCTGAAACACCCAAAAGTGCACGGCACTGCTGTTAACAGGCATGTGAGAGTGTCACTTGAAACACGTTGCAACAATACTCATTATTTAAGCACCAATCACAAATTTATCCCCAAGCTGACTTCATCTAGATTTGTACAGATCTCCGTTTTTCTTTCTCACCAGGGTTCTTGTGTTTTGCATTTGAAACCAATATGTAGGGGCTTATAGCGCCCAGTTGGACAATCAACAAAACCAACTTTAAAAATTCAAATGTTCCATTGGCAAAATGCTTTGGTGTGTTTGGGTGTGCTTTTATAATGTGTGAACCAAATGAAAATCAACTAACATTTGAAGTTCAACTGGTTTCGAATACGAAACTTTCCATCGATTACATCATCATCTTGGGATTATAAGTGAAGGAAACAGTTATGTGCAGAACATTTGCATATTTTGCAAAAAATATACATTCAAATAATGCAAAAGAACAATCAGTCAAATAAATGAATGCATCATTTTAAATATTCCAACACTTTCAAACTAAATTATTCTCTTTTCAAAAAGTTACTCAGCATGTAACAGTTCAGCGCTCATGAACGATGTTTCTCGTTTTACAGTCATGTCACTGAATTAACATAAATTAATTTTAAATAATAGCGATGACATTATCTTCAACATCAATAAGTAGAGATGCGAACCGCCTATATTTCTGTTTTCTTGTAACCTGAATATCTGATATGATTATTTCAACCACCTGTACTTCCAAAATTACCTCTTTCAGGCTCACGAAAGACGAGAGCTTGACCGAGAAACTAAAGGGAATTTGTAGATCCGCCATATTGAAATTTTGTCAGCTTAGGACACGAAATTGTAACACCAGGGATAATGCTGTTTTCAAATCCAGTGGGGAACATCCAAGAGACTGAAACTCATTTGAAGTTCGGAAATTGACTTAGGGAACTGTCAGCTGATGGGATTGATTACTTTCGTTCCGCTAATCCGCCATGTTGAGTTTTGATACGTGCACCGCTTAGCTTATATTAGCGGGTTAATATTTACCAGCGATAAGCTGATATTTGATATTAGGCAAAAAGTACAAGTGGTCTGTTTGACACGTTGGCCATGACGAAATATAACCGCTGTCAACCGCTATAACGTCTATATTGACGCAGGTGTTTAACGTAAAGGACAACCATCACAAAACAACAATTATTTTTTTGAGCTTAATTACTTTCCGGATTTTTAAGAAGCTGACAGCCAGGTTGTTCCACTGAAAAGAATGAATAAGTCAGTGTTAACACTTCACATTTTCTTCCATTTTTTTAAGGGACAAAGTCTACAGAATGTAAATTTTATTACCGAAAAGGATTACGTAATGTACAAATAACACTCAACTCGAGCAAACTCTCAGTAAGGGAAATAGAAAATAACGACATGAACTTTCCTTGAAAGTATCAACCGGTCATTTATATTAGTGTGTCAAGAGTAGTTGTTGTTCTTTCTTATGTTTTAAAGTATATAATGACTATAAAAGATAAATTCTGAGACTCTTCATTATTTGACAGATAAGCTTAAGCTTAAGGAGAAAAACAGTCGATGCTATACCTACCGGTAAAATCCTTTTTCCATGGATCCAGTAATAAAATTGCTGATTTTTGTAAGACATTGACAACCACCCTTTTTTGTTTTAACATCTTGGGAAGGCTCAGCCATTTTGAGCACTGTTTTGAGCAGTTATCCTCGATCGTGCGATCGGTTTTGACGTAAAGGCATAAACTGAACGCTTGCAGTTCAAACTGTTTTTCAGTTCAGTGCGCAGGTGTTTATAAATCAGCAAGCAACTTCTCACGGGGGAAGGGTACGTCAATCTTTGACTCACCGCATCGACTATTATATTACTTTAAACACGTCTGCGATTCATTTTTTTATAGATTTGTTTTGCAGGGATAGAAAATCGTGTAGGAACATGCAAAACAAAACAAAACAAAACAACAACAAAAAAACAGCTGTAAATAGACTGGATTGCTGAATCGGCGTTTTTACTTTTTGTAATATGGGAGGGGTCCCAGGGGCGCTCGCGAGTCACTTTGCTCACGTTGGGGAGGCACGTGTCACGAAAATTATGACTAAGCACTTGTTTTATTTCACAATAACAATGGCACTATAACAAAAGTAAAAGTAAAACCGTACAAAGTAGGAAGAGCGATTGTTGTTATCATTACATATATATTTTTTTGTCTCATGTGAGAATGTATTCACTGTAGACTCATGATTTTAGGCACGGTATTCTTTTTTCCTTGTACCATAGGAGGTCACCTAAGCGCGAAATAGAACGATGGTACTGTTGCGTAACCTTCGAATTTGATCAAGAAAAATAACTTCTCATGACTTCACAAACCTAAAAATATGAATCAAAATTTAAACTAAAAGCTGCTTCCCTTTCTTAATGTCAATTTATCTTGTTTCTTAGAGCAGTCAAAGCCCAATTGTGGACGTTTCAACGGGTTTTAGTAGAGCTCTCTATATAGCATTTCCTAGAAGTTTTTAGGCTCAGAGAATGGTCAGATAATTAGAAGAACTGCGTATTTGTGCAATCAAATCATGGTTAATAAAGTTCAAATGTAATCACAGTAAATTTCTTTGCAGTAGTTTTCGTCTGTCTTTTCCGTACAAGGCACTCAATAGCATTCCATGCATATCCGACTGAACAAACCATCGATGACCAAGACAAAAGGTTCCGTTAAGTTATTCAGTCGTGAAGAGAGGATAAAAGAGGTCCTTTCATGCACTCTTGCCACAATGTATTAACAAAAACCAAAAGATTCATGCGCGGCACGTTCAGGGATCTGAGGGATCCCCTACCTTCTCCCTCATCCTCCCCTCGCTGTTTTACTCGCAACATTTTTCGCTCGGTGTTTGACTCTCGTTCCTCGCGGCTTTCTTTGCTCCGAAACCGCAAGGAAACGCTTGCTAAGCAGGCTACATGGTATCTTACCCTCTAGCTATTATTTCTTGTTTGCCAGCTCCTCTTTAAAATAAAATAATTCAAGAGCACCTGATCGCAAGTGGCCTGTCGGAAAGCAGCTGACATTTCGAGACGCCACCACCATTGATTTTTACCCCCTTCATTTCGCGGGGGAATTAAACCAGTGTTGGCGTAGCGAAACGTCGACCGGTTTACAGCACTGTAGTTTTGCCTTTGATTTTTGCCGGCTTTCTTAACCAGTTTCCTCAATTTCAGGGTTTAAGAATCGGAAGGTCCTTAATTACTTCTGTTTGGCTCAAATAGAAATACTTCCCGGGAGTGCAAAATATGCCTTATTCTTACCTGAATCCTGTACCCTTTTTTATATATTTATTTTAATTTTGGCCAGAACGCTAGATTTAAATTTTTGTTATTATTCAACAGTTTATACTTCTGTAGATGTATGTTGGAACATACGACATGCCAAGTTAAAGTTTAATTCCTTTCCAGAAATGCGTTTATATTTCCTCGTTTCCCTCGTTTCTATCACCGCAGAAACAGGAAATGAGTTTAGACTCAGACTCCCCCCTGTTCATCATTTTGAGAGAGACTGGAACTCAAAACAATATGGCGGCAATGGCGGTTAAGAAGGACGTTCGATAACTCTTGAAATGTTGTGAGAGTTTTTCAGTATTTAAAAGGCAGCTGTTGCCATTAGAATGATTTTAATTCGAAGATGATAATACTCTGCTCGATTCTGGTTGAAAGTGTGCTCAGTAACCCCTGACAGCGTCAAATCAGGAGTTGAATCCATTCGTGGGAAATTGGTCGAATTAGTCAATGAACAAGCTTGCTATGGAAGGAACTAAAGAGCAGAATATTGTGGAAGATTTAATGGCAGAAAAGCGGGCTATTTTGGAAGAGCTGGCTCAGTGTAAAGCTGATAAAGACTTTGTTTGGAATCTGTGGCGGAGATTACAATCTGCTCAACCCGATGTTACTTCGGTCGTTAGCATGGTAGTCGCTCGAGAAAAAGAGAAAGGCGAGGAGAAAGATAAAAAGGTTTTGGAAATCTTGCAGGTGAAGGATGAAAAGATCAAGGAATTAAAAGAGAGGATATTAGCGGCGGAGGATGAGTCTCATTACAGTAAAACACGCTACCACGACCTGTTGATTGAAAACGAGGAACTCAAGCAAAAATTAGATGAGATACAGAGCGAGTTCTCGGCAAAAGAGAAAGAACTACGCGAAGAAAATGGCTATTTGTCCAGTTTGCTTACAGCTCATCAGGCGCAGAAGGAGGTGGATGATCAAACCGTTAAAGAAAATCTGGATAAGATAACAGAGGAGAAAAATCAGCTGAAGTTAAGAATAGTAAGTTTGGAGAAACAAGTTAGTGATTTCAGTGAACAGAAGTTAAACATGGCTTCGGCGATCGAAGCGAACGCAACTTTAGAGGAAAAGATTAGATCATTACAAAATGAGGTCAATGAGTTAACATTAAAAAGCGCTGAAGTTGCAAAGAATTGCGACGAGGCTGAATTAAAGTTAAATGAGAAACAAAACGTGGTCAAAGAGCAATTAGAGTCATTACAAGAACAGTCTGAAAAAATTACAGAACTTGAAAGTGATTTACTGGCAATGAAAAGTGAACTTGAACAGGCGAAGGACAGTTACAAACAGGCTGTTAGTCATATAACGGAGCAAGAAAACGTTATCAAACGTCTGGAAGAACTTCAGGCAAATAATCAGAGAGATCTCATCGACCGCGAGAAAGAATATCGCAAAGGACTTGCTTCTCTGCAGAAGTCTGTGGCCGACCTTCAAGCACGTTGCTCAGTTTATCAGGAAAAGGAAACCAAGTCACTGCAAGAGACCGAGAGGCTGAGAGAATCTTCAGCCAAGTTAACAGAAGACCTTAGAGTCAAAGAGTTGATTATTGAGGAACTAAAGGACGCTGTCAGAGGTGGCGTTCGTTCGGAAGAAGTTTCGAAACGCGAAGACAGATTAAATGAATCAAGCGAGCGTGACCACAGGGTGCCTCAGAGAGATATCAAGAGAACACAAGATTCCTTTTCTCGAAAAGGGCTAAAATCGAAAAGCGCGGAACAACGACCAACGGACGGCTCGGATGAAAGTATCGAGGAACTGAGATCGGAAATCGCAATGACGAATCAAGATACGGAGAGAAAACTGAAAAAAATAACAGCTCTTGATGAGCTTGAGAACCGGCTAAGTGAAAACAGGAAGCTTATAGATGAACTGAAAAAGCTTCTGGAGCTCAAAGAAGCGGAACTTGTAGAAACTAGACGCGCTCATTCGCAAAGGCAACAGCGCTACAGAATGTTGAAAGAAAATTACCAACTTGTGCTAGAACAGATTAAGACTTATGAGGCTTCAAACGCTGATCGAACCGGAAGTGATTCTCAACTTCCGGAAAGACCGGAAGAGCGAGAACTGCGACATTTGGATAGTGACCAAGTCTGGAAAGAGTTGGCTTATTATAAACACGAGTACGAGGCTCTGGCGAAAGAAAGGCATGATGTTTTGGAAGAGGTGGATGTTCTTAGAGTCCAGCATGCTAATGATCTGGCGAATGTCCAGGAGCTCCGTGTTCAAATTAGCGAAGAGAAAGAGGAGAACTCTTCGCTGCGTAGCAAGATGGCGGCGGGAGAGGAAGCCTTTGACGCGCTCCGTCTTGAAGTGGAAAAGCATGAAGACCAGTTGCAGAGTTGGCAGGAAAAGGCTCTCCAAGGACAATCGTTGAGTAGCGACCTTGAGGAACAAAATCAGTTTCTGAGGCTCGAAATAAAGGCGTTACAAGAAAAAAATCAAACACTCACTGAAGAATTCAGTGGGTTAGCAGATGAGTTTGAGACTCTAAATAGACGTTATAATGAGCTGTCAAACAAAGCGGAGACGAGCAAAGTTACAGAAAAACAAAATGTCGTTGGTAACAAAGAACTGGCCTCTCAAACTGTTAACACAGATTCTGAAATTGTTAAGCAGCATGTTGAATCGCTAAGTAGTTATGATGAACAAGTAAGGCGTATCGCTGACAGAATCTTACGTAGCCCTCCAAAAGACGCTGAAGAAATACGAGCCACGCAAAGTGTGAATGTCACGCAAGGAATCGGTGTCACGCAAGGCACGCAGACAGATGACTTCCCTCGTTTTGTCGATTCAAGTGTTAATGTGAATTTAGACGCCGATGAAGTCTTATCAACGGACGAGGAGGACACCATTGCTTTTAAAAGCAGTGTAAAGAAGGGTAAGGTGCCTGTTCGTAGGCAGGAAACTCCGCAGCCTAAAAAGGTGGCGAAGAAAACGCCGCGAAGAAACGAATGGGCAAGCATGAAGCAGCGAATTCTAAGCTTGACGCAAGAAGTTTCAGCACTTCGGCAGTCGAAAGATAAAGCTGTTAAGTCGCTGAATCTGCAGAGGAACGATTTCGAGAGCTTGCAAACGGAGTACAATTCCTTGCTGTCTAAACTACAACTTAGCAGGAACTCGGTGCAGCATTTGACTGACAACTTGAAGATGTGCGAGCGAAAGAACGAACGTTTGGTAGCAGAGTTGAAGGAGCAAAAAGAAGAAGATGTGAGACCGACTGCACTCTCGATTGCAGAGTGGAAGCGCTTAGAAGAAGAACTGCGATTGGCCACAATGGAGTGTATTCGGTTGGCAAGCATTGTCAGAACGCTAGGGGGCGAGAATGAACAGCTCAGAGCAAGGCTGAAGGAATTACAAGACAATAATTCAAGGCTTGAGCACGCTGTTACTCAGAAGAAGACACTCCTCGATGAAATGAAAACCAAGATGAAACTCGTGGAAGAAAAAGCCAAGCAAGACTCAGACACGGCAAAGAATGTGGAAGAGAAGTATTATCAGCTTAAAGAAAGGGAGAAAACTAACAAACTACGAATTGAAACTCTTGAGCACCGACTGGATGGGGAGATGAGGGACAAACAGAAATTTCGTCAAGAACTGATGAACTGCCAGGAGGAGCTTAAGAAAAAGACTCAACAGTTAACAAGGTAGGGTCTCACTGACGTAGAAGCACCGAGTTTCTTTAACCTCCCCACCCCCTCCCCCTCACATTCAAGGAAGCGAGATGTTTGTAATAGCCAGGGGAAATTATCGTACATCAGTATGCCTGGTAAATGACTTTCTGTTCTAGCGAGCGGGAAGTTATGCTATCCAATAGCATAGCCAGCCTGCGAACACAGACGTATTTCCGGTCGTCGGTTCTCTCCGGCACTCGAAAAGAAACATCT